TCTGCGCGGGTGGGGGGGGGGGGGATGCGATTCCCGTGTCCGTGTCCGTGTCCGGGGCTGCGTCCTCCTGATAGGCCTGGGCCCGGCCCGGCCCGGCCTGGCGCTCCGGGAAGGAAGCAGGCGGGAGGATGTGGCCCTGCCTATCTCCCCAGCCCAGGGCCGCGAGGCGCTGCCAGACCCGCAGCCGCCCCCGGACCAGTGCAGCTGGCTGTTTGGAGCTCGGGCTTTGAGGACCTACTGGGTGTGTGAAGGGGGACACGTGAGGCCGGGGGGAGTGCAGAGGGCACGCCGGCGTCCTGGGACCAGTGCCCATTCCGGGCACAGAGGGACGGAGTCCAGCACGCTCGCCCACCACCACGCATGCCCCAGCTCTCGAGCTCCCGGTCACAGTCCCAGCTGGGAAAGGAGAAAGTTCCGGGCCATCCACAGGGTCTTGCCACAGGCTCCAGACACAACTCCAAGTGCCCTCCGTGAGCCTGGGCCGGGCAGGACCGGGAGCAGGCGGGGCCGGGCTGTCAGTCCTGTCCTGAGGGCCGAGGGCCCCGGGGAGGGGGCTCAGAGCAGCAGGCAGAGCCGGGGCTGTTTCTGCCGCTGCGCCTTCTTCAGGGCGCTGAGCGCCACCTTGGCCGCCTCTCGGAAGACGTCCTCCACGTTCTCCCGAAACTTGGCAGAACATTCCAGGTAGAGGGCGGCCTGCATCTGCTGGCAGGTGCTCAGGCCCTGGGGGAGGGGAACGGCAATAGATGCTGGGTCTGGGCGTGGGGCGCCTCCTGACACCCCCTGGTGGGCCTGGGGCTGGCTGTAGGGGCTGCGGGGCCTTGGGGTGGGGCCCCTCTTGCTCCTCCCGCCCTCCCACCTCGGGCAGAAACTGGGGTGAATCCTGAGAACGGTTTGTCTGCTGGGCCTGTGAGGAGAGTGGCTTCCCCCCCAGACCTCTCTCCCTCTGGAAAGCACCATCCAGGCAGCGGAGCTTGTCCTCAGAATTAAAAAATGTCAATTTCTAAAACATTTCCTTTTATTCATGCCGATTCCCTTTTATGAAACCTCATTAGGTTTGCTTCACGTTCCCTCCATCCTCCCGTGCCTCGGGCAGCCCCGGCCGCCCGCCAGCCAGGGGAAGGCTGCTTTCGAGCAAGGGCCCGCCCCTGGGGTCCCCTCGGCAGATGGGACAGGACTCTGGAGCCATAGTGACTGGGAGGGCACCCCAGCCTCACACTTCAGGTTAGCTGTGTGACCCTGGGCAAGCTCCTTAACCTCTCTGGGTCTCAATTTATCTCCCCCCATAAAATGGGGAACCCTGCCAGTATCTGCCTCTGGGTCCCAGGATTAAATAAAGCGCTCGGACATGTGGGCTATCAATATGGTACCGCCGTTATCCTTAGCATCCCGTTCGCTCCCACTGTGCACAAGGCCACTGAGGCACCCCGCTGCAGCGGCCCCAGGCCTGGGCGTCTTCAGCCACAGCTGTGCCGGCCGGGCTCCTGGTGGGGGAGGGGGAGGGAGGGAGGGGAGGGAGGGCCCGAGCTCACCTGCATGTAGGTGATGGGCTCCAGCTGGGCCGCCCGCAGCTTCCGCAGCTGCTCTTTGTCCTTCCTCAGGTCCGTCTTGCAGCCAATGAGCACCATGGGGGTCCCACGGCAAAAGTGCGTGACCTCGGGGAACCACTGTGTGGGGGAGGCTGGGCGTCAGGGCCGGGGCCGGGGCCGGGGCCGGGGGACCCCCCCCCACCCCCACCCCGGGAGGCAGGCCTCACCTTGACGAGGACGTTGTCGTAGCTGGTGGGGTTCATGACGTCATAGCAGATGAGCACCAGGTGGGTGTTCTGGTAGGACAGGGGCCGCAGCCGGTCGTAGTCTTCCTGCCCTGAAACCAACCCGAGGGCGGGGTTGTCGGGGAGGCGCCCATCCGCGTCCACCCGAGTCCCCGGTCTGGGCTCGGAGGGGCCAGGGGGCTGGGGGTCTGCCGGACAAGCGACACCTGCGCCGGCTCCAGTTTGTTCTGTGGAGCAGGTGGCCGCCCGCTGTATGGACGGCAGCGGGGACGGCCGGGGAGAGGACGCAGCAGTGCCCAGAGCTGGGCCTGGCCGAGGTAAGTGCTGAAAAGTGGCGAGCAAGGTCACCCCCCTCCCACCCACTTTACCCCCCTGCCCTGTGCCCGGGCTGGCGTCACATCACCCTCCGAAAACAAAGTCAGAGGAGGGTGCCTCCGAGCCCCGAGGCGTGCGGCCTCAGGTGAAATTTATCTGCCGTTCTGGCCGGGGCTGGGGAGAGGGGAGAGAACAGCAAGCTTCTCACCTGGACACCTGCCCCCACCCTCCACCCCCTCCACCCTCCCACCCGTTACATCAGACTCACCCCAAGGCTGGGCTGGAGCAGCAGGGGGGGTTTCTGTTTGTGTTTAACATATATATATATATTTTTAATAAAACATATTTTATTGATTTTTTACAGAGAGGAGGAGAGAGGGATAGAGAGCTAGAAATGTCGATGAGAGAGAAACATCGACCAGCTGCCTCTTGCACATCCCCCTACTGGGGATGTGCCCGCAACCAAGTGCCCTTGACTGGAATCGACCCGGGACCTTTCAGTCCGCAGACCGATGCTCTACCGCTGAGCCAAAACAGTTTCGGCTATTTTTACTTATTTAATAGAGGAAGGGAGAGGAGAGAGAGAAACATCAATGATGAGAGTCATTGATCGGCTGCCTCCTGCATACCTCACACTGGGGATTGAGCTGGCAACCTGGGCATGTGCCCCGACCAGAACTGAACCTTTTGGTTAAGTGGGGTTTTTGTTTGTTTGTTTGTTTTGTTTTTTAATTTTTATGTATATTTAAAACAGAAAAATTGCAAAATAACAGCACAAAAAGGCCCTTACTCGGACGCACTGTTCGCGTGGGCCCGCTGGGTTATCTCCGTGGAGACACCCTGACCCCGCGAGGGGCAGGCGCACACGCTGGGCCCCCGCGCCTGGAGGTAGTCCTTCCCCTGCCGGCTTTCTGAGGACACTCCACTGGGCCGTGCGTCTGCCAAACCCGGGGAAGCGGCGCGAAGTGGTCGGCCAACTCATCAGTCCCCAGAGCCAAATAACAGCACAACGATCGCGATTTCTTTGGAGAGCCAAATTTCTTAAACTTCTTCTAACGCCACTTCTTCAAAATAGACTCGCCCAGGCCGTGGCTCTCACATGTGGCTCTCGAGCTGCAGTTTGCCAACCACGGCTCTAGCCGATCCACTAGCCATGCTCCTGTCACCAAATGTCCCCTGGTACTTCCTCCCTGGCCCAGAGGCAGGTCTGCCTGTGCGTCCTGCAGCCGCTGTCGCACAGGCATCTTGGGAAAACGCCCGCAGGGCGGGCTGAGGCCTCTCAGGCTCACTGGCAGCTCCCAGCCTCCCTTTGCAGGAGGTGAGGTGACCTCCTCTCACTGACCTGGACTCAGAGGCCTGGCCCGGCCTGGCCCGGGAGTCCCCGCCGCCCCTCCCTCCAGCCAACGGCCCTCCAGACAAGTGGCCTCTCCACTGAGCAGGCCGCCTACTGACCACAGGGCACAGCAACCCGCTTCCCACCCACTCGCTCCGCTGTGCATGGAACGGCTGCCACAGTTAGGACGGCCGGGCCAGGAGGACTGTCCGTGCTGTCACTCAACCGAAATCCCCCAACACTGGGGAAGGGGCGAGGGGTGGGCAGGGCCCAGCGTACTCAGACCCTCCTGTGCTCACCGCCACAGAGCTGGATAAACCTGCGGACGACGATGGAGAGCCGGCCCAGCCTGCTATCCAGCCCATGCCTGCCCCTCTCTGTCCTAAACTGTCCCCATGTCTAACCTCTGTGCATGTCTGACTAGATCTCTGCTGCCTCTAGCCCCAGGGGGCTATTTAACATTTAAAATGCAGGTTCTCCATCCCACTAGCTACATTTCAAGGGATGGACTGCCGCTCGGGGCCAGTGGCTTCTGTAACAGACAGGGTAGGCACAGAGCATTTCCATCACCACAGAATGTTCTAGTGCACAGCACGGCTCCGTCCTCATCCCGGCACCCCCCTGCCCTCCCTGCTGCCCCTCAATGAGCCCCATGATCCACGCAGCCGCTGGGTGGATCTTAAACACAAAGACCTGCCTTCTCCTGACGGAAACACCTCCAGTGGCTCCCTGTGGCCCTTTAATAAAACCCAAGCTTCTCCTGTGGTCCCGTGACCTGGGTCCCCCTGGCCCCGACCTCCTCTCCCTCCTCCACACCCCTCCCTCCCTGAGGTCCAGCCGGGGCGGCCTCCTCTGAAACCCGCCGGGCTCTGGGGCCTCAGAGCCTCTGCATTTGCTGTTCCCCGTCCCTGGAACGCTTTTCCCTCGTTCTCTCCCAGTCTTCTCTCTAGCGTTTTGTTTCAAGCATTCGGACTGACCGTCCACGTTATTTCCTTTCGCCTTCTCTCTGCTTCCACGTAATACCACCCCTCTCCCCAATACCTTACTTACGCACTTTTCGGGGGGCTTCTACTGTACAGGATTAAGACAAACTGAGAGCAAAATCACCTGGCGAGCTCGTCCGGGAACTCGGGAGCATTCCCACCGATACTGGAAGAAGCTGAGGTTCAGGGAAGTAAAGGCACTAGCCTACCCCTGGTCACGGTGTCCGTGACCGAGCCAGGACTCCGCCCCGGCTCCTTCAATCCCAAATCCAGCGTTCCTTCCGCAAAAAACGCGGCGACACGCTTTCCTGCTTCTGTGCAGACGTAGGTCCCGGGCCCCCACCATGCACGAGGCGGTTCGTAATTGTGGTGCAGACACGCTCGCTCCCGCCCGCTCAGACACCCGGCGGGGACGGCCCCGTGGCAAAATGGGGCCTACTGCCCCCACGTCTCTTCCCCCCGCCTGGAGCCCAGTCCACCGCCCTGTGTGTTCACACCTGTCCCCGTGTGTGTGCTGGGCACTGCCCGTCTCCCCGTGGACCGGAGGCGCCCCGAGGGCAGGGCCCACGTCTGTCCTTAAATACTAGTTCCCGGTGCCCGGCAGGTGCCCAGGCAGTGCTGGCTGGTTGGAGCTGTTCACCTCTTGGAGGTGGGGACCAGGGCCGATGTGTGCTGGGAGGTTCGCCACGTACGGCCGTGATGGTTCGGCCGCGGACGAGGGCAGCAGTCGGACAGCCCTGGGCTGCGGGGGGAAGTCAGGCCGAGTTGGCTCCCCCCAAGACGCTGCCCTTGTTGTCACCTCCCCCAGAGGCTCTTCCCCAGGGAGCAGACGGCTCGGTCCCTCCTCTCCTCAGGTCTCTGCAGAGGGGTCCCCTCCTCCGAGAGAATTGCTCTGAAACAGCCCCCTTCCCCGTGGCTTTCTTTTCCTTCTGGGCTTTTGTTTGTTTGCTTTGTTCCCCCCCCCCCCCCCCAACTGGGGCCTTCTCTGCCTGTGCTACGCTGGCTGGCAAGCTCAGTCCCGTGGCGAATGAAGGAGCGGACGGACGAGTGAGCGAGCGAGCGAGTGAAGTGCAGTGATGACGTTTGCCAGGGCACCGCGCTTCTCTGCCCATTTAAGCAGCCACCCCGGGAAGTGAGCCTGGCGGGGAGGGCTCTTCCTGTTAGGAGACCACGTGGCGGAGGGGGCACGTTTCAAGGTCAGAGACAGGCTCCCTGGGAGCTGGAGCACCAACTCAGTCCCCAAGCCCAAGGTCAGCTGCCTGCTAACGGCACCAGCTCTCCCAGGAGGCCTTCTCCAGCCTTCCCAATGGGGAACTGACCTCTGGACCTCAGTCTCCTCATCTGTGAAATGGACATGCGAGAAGCAGAGAGCCTTGTTGACAATAACAACAACAATGGTCCTCTATGCCAGAGCCCTTCACCTGCATTGACTCATCATGCCTCATCAGGATCCTACAAGGCAGGGCTGTTGCCACCCCATTTCACAGACGCAGAAACTGAGACTGAAGCGCAGAAGACCACGGGGAGGACAATCGGGGCGCCTCCCGCTCACTCCTTCCCCAAAAGATCAGGAGCCGGCCTCACCCGACAAACCCCAGCCCTGACCAGGGGAGGTGAAAGCTCCCAGCACAGGAATCTCTAGGAGAGAGGGATTCTGGGAGGGGATGGGCGGCCAGCCCCGATCCCAGCTCCTCCTCCTCCTCCGGGCTGCCTTCCTGGCTTAGCTGTGCCTGGCTCGGCTTTCCCCAGGACTCAGAGCGGGCCTCCACTCCGCAGGTGACAGACTTTGCCCTCCCGCTCCTTGGGTGGGGCAGGATGTCCCCAGACAGACACCTCCCATATGAGTCAGGAGGGTCAGGCCGCCCACAGACCCCTGTTCCATGGCTTTGGCACCTTCCCTCTCCGGGCCTCGGTTTCCTTGTCTGGAAAAGGGGGTGGTAACCCTGCCCCTGGTGCTGAAAGTAAAGGACTTGTAGGCTGGACCATGCTGGGCAAAGGTGAGAACTGTTATCCCAAAATAGAAACAGGGTCCTGGGGGAGAAAAGGGGGAGGATTGGGTCCTAACTCTGGCTCTTTAGACCCACAGGCTTTATGGGGCCCTCCACCCACAACACGGCACTCCCCTCCCCATTTCCCCCCGGTAACGGCAAGGCTTAAAGGGGCCAAGTCGCCTGTCTACGGGCACACAGGTGTCCCACTCTGGCCTCCGCAGATGGGCCTCAGATGTTTAAAAAAAAAAAAAAAAAAAAAAAAAAAGGCCCCGAGTTTTGTGCGAAAGGAGGTGGTGGTTTCAGGCGGGGAAGGCCCGTGGGGCAGGGAGGAAGTGAGGCTCAGGAGAGGGTGCTTCCTTTGTGGGCGGGAGTGTGGCTGTGGCCTGGCGGGGACTTTCTGGGTAGGGGTCTAGGGCGTGGCGCTGGATGGAGGCAGAGGGAGTCATCGGGCCTCGGTGGTCCCCAAATCGGCTGGAGGACACCCACGGGGCAGGTGGGTCCCGGCTCCCACCAGGGTGTTGGTCGGGGTGGCTGCAGGCAGCACGAGAAGGGGAAGCTGCTGAAAGGGAACTCTCTCTCACGAGTGCTCCCGTGCCTGCCACCTGCACGTCCTCCCCAGAGACCGGAGCAGCTGGGGCCGGGCAGCACCACCCACGGCCGAGAAACGGGCCTGAGGACCCACTGCTGCGGCTCCCCTCTGTCCCTGGTTCCCCGTCCACCCCACACCTTTCCTCAGGTTCCATCCCAGGCTCCCCACCTCCCGGGCAGTCCCCCCGCCCCATCTGGTGACGCCCAGCCTGAGGCCCAGACAGCTCGGTCTCTGGTTGGTGTCTTCACCTCCCACCTCGCCCCCGCTTCCCCTCCCTGGCCCAGGAAACGTCAGACCTCGCCGCAGCTTCCTGTCTCAGGGTGTCGGGGCCGCAGGCAGGCAGGCAGGCGAGGCTGGCGGCCCCGGTGCTGCTCGCAGCGAAGGTCAGGCCCCCCAGCCGCTCTGAGAGCCGGGCGCCGCTCCCCCGGCCCTCCTGAAGGAGCTCTCAGAGCGGATCCTTTCTCAACGCCACCAGCTCCCCGGGCCCTCCCGGGACAGCCCGCCCTGCCGTGTGCCCTGAGCATCCTCCTCTGGCCAGGCCACCGAGACCAGCCGGTGCCCCAGCGCGGGGCGAAGGGAAGGCGGTGGGGAAGCGGAGAGGAGACGCCCTGAGGGCAGGCGGAGCAGAGACACGCTCCCCTGGACTCTGCCGTCCCACCAGCGCCCCACCCACCGCGTGGAAACGTGTGAAACCGAGGGTCCCAGACCATGTGGTCTTCACTGCTCTTTGCGGCCACACCCCTGGGAATTCCCCCGAAGCACATCCCCATTCTGGGGGCAGCCCGGCGGGGCCCTCATCCAACAGGGTGGGGAGGTCCTTAGAGGTCACCCCAGGGGGTGGGGGGGATACCAGAACCCAGGAGAGGGCTGGGGCTGGGTCAGCCGGCCCTATCCTCCAGGTCCCGGCAGAATGAGAGATGCTGCTGGCAGCTTGGCAAGGGAGGCAGCTCCGGGTTTTGGCTCCATCTGAGGCAGTCAGTCGGGACGGCACTGCGCGCAACCAGGCTTCCTCGGGGAGGGGGCACCTGATGACCGGCTCCACGCAGCTCACTAAGCACTGACTCACAGAGGCTGGGACTCCTGACCTTTGCTCCCCAATGTTTTAGTCCAGAGGCAAAGAGGGAAACTCCCTGAGGGCAGGCACCCCCCCCTCCCCAAACAGCGCCATTTAGTCCCTCTCGCTGGCTGTGCTCCTCCCGCCCATCCCCCGGCGACAGGCCTCCGATGGGGAGGGAGGGAGGCGGGCGGCACAAACCCAGGAGGAGCTGCAGGTGACAGAACCTCACCCCCACGTTCCCCGGCGCCCGGTTCCTTCCAGGGAACCAGGAAGGCACAGAATCCTAGAGGGCTCCACAGAGGAGAGCCCAGAACCCCAGAAGCAGAAGCGTGGGAGTCAAAACCTGGGTCCACGGGACCCTGGAGCCGAGGATCTTGGGAGTCACAGGCTCTCATCTGCAGCCCAGAATATTCTGGAAGCATAGGACCCTGAGATGCAGCCCAGGGCAGCCCAGCCCCAGTGCACCCAAACGTGCAGCCCACAGAGCCTTAGGAGCCCACAGCAGGTAGCACCCGGGATGTTCTAGAAACAGGAGAGGAAGGAAGCCGTGGGCTCTCAGAGCATCGGTGCTGGGTGCTGGCCAGGAGCTCATCTCGCCCAAATACCCTCCTTAAACATACAGAAGGGGCCCCGACTGGGGTCCTCTATGCCACCAGCACCCCCACCCCGGCCCCTGGCCCCCCGGCCAGGCGGTGAGCACCGCCCCGCGGCCTCCAGGGGTGATGGGCTGCCAGGGCCTCGCGGCCGGGGATGCCCGGACCCTCGGCCCCTGGGCGCGCAGGCGCACTCACCGGCCGTGTCGTAGAGGTTCAGGATCACCTCCTTGTTGCCCACCGTGACGCTGGCCGTGTACTTCTCGAACACGGATGGGGCGTAGTGCTGTCGGAGGGAGAAGGGGGAGGGCTGGTCCTTAGCGCGAGCGGCGGGGTGGCGGGGTCCCGGGGTCCCCACCTCCCACCTTCACCCCATCCGGCTCAACACCCCCCCAACCCCCTCATACGCACCCCGCTAGGCGCTGGAATTCCCGAGGGGGCGCCCCGGGGTGGCAGCCGCCTCTGGGCGCGCAGGACGCCGGGGACCGAGGGCCCAGGCTCGGGTGCGGGCGGAGGGCCGCCCCTCGCCCCCAGGGACCCCCGCGCGCCGCCCCTTCCCCACCCCCCGCGGGCCGCACCTCGGGGAAGGAGCCCTGGCTGTACACCATGAGCAGCGAGGTCTTGCCGCAGCCGCCGTCGCCCACGATCACGATCTTCAGCTCCTTCCTCCCCGGGCCCGGGGCGGCGGGGGCCGGGGCGTCCATGGCCCGGAGCCGGCGGTACTGGCGGCGGCGCGCGGGGCTGAGCGCCGGGGCTCGGCTCGCGGAGAGGGGGCGTGGTCATGGAACGGGGGCGTGGTCATGGCAAGCCCCGCCCCTATCGGCACCGCCTCCGTCAGGCAGCCGCCGGGGCCGATCCTGCGGCCTCAGTTTCCTTCCGGCCAGGGTACGAGCTCGGGGCATTCGCCCTTCCTGCGCAGGGAAGCCGAGAAGCGGGAGGCTCGGCCGCAAGCGCAGCTCCTGCGCCCCCCACCGCCAACACCCCGTTTCCGCCGCTTCTCCTGAGGGGGGGCCCCCCCTTAATTGGCAGGCTCCGCCTTCTGTCAGGGGCTCTTTGATTGGCCGGCACGGACAGGGTCTCCTTGATTGGCGGGTCGCCCCCATGCCCCAACACCCCGGTTTGAGGAGCCTTGGTTCCAGGCTTTGGGAGAAGGCCCCCAGGTGAGCGGCCTGGGGCAGGCCCGCCTCAGGCTGTTTCCCCACAGGAGGCAGGTCGGTGGTGCCAGGGGAGATGCTGGCACGGGAGCCGTGTCTCCGGTGTGGACGCGGGATGGCGGTGGGGGAAGAGTGGTTCCCTCCCACCTCCCTAGGGGCGCAAAGTAGACTTGGGGCGCCCTCTGCCGGGCGACCGCCTGAACTTGGGCGACAGGTGCCCTCATTACGTGGGCGGAGACCTCTTTCTAGCAGGGGCTGGAGGCCTTAGCCAAGCCAGACACTGTCGAGGAAGGCCGGTATCTTTTGAGACCGGTAACCCCTACCTCCACCCAGAAATTTGTTTTGCAGCCAGCAGCCACGCGTCTTTCATCCCGAGGACTCTTCCCAATCCTCCCACCCCCTGGCCAAAACAGCTGTTTGTTGAGCTCTTCCCCAGGTGCAGGTACTGTGGGATGGGTAGCTGCTATCACCTGTCCTCCATCCCGTCCCTCCCTGCGATTCTGGGCTGACTTTCTCTTTACAAGCCAGGCCGCTGGCAGGAGCGGCAGGGGACCCCTGGAGCCGTTGAGTGGCAGGCAGGTTAAGGGCATGGCCAAGTGAGCAAGCAGGGCCTTCCCAGTTGGGGTAGGACCTCTGGGAGTTTCCTCCAAGAGGGGCTGGCAGGACTCAGGATCTTTTTGCCCTTACCCCACCCTGAAGATTACCAACTTTCAAGATCTGAGCAAAGATGAGGTAAACTTTACTTCAGGCAGGAAATTGCCAACCTGGCAGTTGCATAAAGGCAAGGTCGTTTTTTGTGTTTTTTTTTTAGCGGATGCAAGGCAAGGGTCTGACCACCAGAGGGCAGCAGCGACCGCCCATGGAAACCCCAAGAGCCAGAGCTGGGAAGAGCAGGCAAGTGAAAGCTGTTTCAGTTTGTTGGTGGCATCAGCTGGGTCAAGCATCCTCAGAAAAATTTACAGCAACTCATTCATTCTTTTTTTTTGCAATAAAAGTTTATTGAGAGGAAATTGTGTTCCCACCTGTAAGGAGCTCAGAGGAGGTTGAGAGCTGGTTGGTACGTGAACTAAGCTTGGCAGTGTTGGGAGGGCAGGCCAGATGGGTACCCAGCCTGGGCAGATACACGGAGGCTGGAAAACCCCAGCGGGTTTGGCAGTGGCTGGGGAGTGAGGATGGAGGCCAGACGCTGTTGTCAAGGTAACCAGGGTGAACCCACAGAGGGCCTAGCTGTCAGGCTCAAGCAGGGGGCGCTGGACAGAAGGCTCCTGAACTGGCCCAGCCAAAGCTGGACCCTCTGGCTCTCTTCAGAGGAGCTATGACTGGCTGGTGAGGCAGCCTGAAGTTGGCAGAACAGACCAGGTCCAGACATATGTCAGAAAGGCCCACAGGAGGCAGGGGAGGATGGAAGAGGGTTTGGAAGAAAGGAGAACCACTTATCTTTGCAACCTTCTCATCTCAGGCCTGCTGCAGCAGTGTTCCTAAAGCAAGGACCGTAAGTGTAGGGAGGAGGGCCTGGGAGAGTAAAAGGGGGAGGAATGCTATCTCATCTGGGAGGGGTTGGGGGAGCATTCAGGTAGAAAGGTCACCCCACCCTTAGCAAACTGCCGCGGGAAACTGGATTCACCGCACAGGCCTGTGGGAGGGCTCTCAACTGTCCTCAAAATCCTCACTCCTCAGTTTCCACTTTCCATCTGAGAAACGGGGCTGCAATTTTAACTTATGACAGAACACACCATGTACACAAGGATGAGAGGAAGAGGAGAGGAAGAGAGAGTCTGTCCAGCCTCGTCTGGGTCCAGGCAGAACAGTTGACATTGGCCCCAGCCTGCCCGCCCGCCCACCCACCCACCCCTGCCTGGCCAAGAGGCTGGCAGAACCCAGCCCTAGCCAGCATGGAGCGTGTTTGATTTGGACCCAGCTCCAGGGTGGTGTAGGGGCTGGATCTGAAGCTAAAAATACCCAGCAGCCAAGCCAGCTGCGCAGGCTTCCTCCGAGGTGGCAGGGCCAGGGCAGGCCAGCTGAGGAGCTGGGCACTCGCACAAGCCGGGGGGCCCTGCTTCCTTACCTGGGAGATGTTCTGGGGACCCATGTCATTCTTCTCTTATTCACCAGGAATTCCTGGAGAGGTTTAGGAAGACAAGAAAGATACTTTTAACTGGTCCTTGCCGCAGACTCCATCCAAGGGGAGCTGGCCAGGTGGCACTCGTGGGGTGAACTCGCTCGGCCAGCCCAGGGCAGGATGGTTACTGACATGCCCATGGGGCCTACTTCCCTGGTGCCTCAGAAAATCCAGAGGGGCCATCCACTCCACCTGAGGCTGAAAACACGGAGCCTTCCCAGACACAACTATCCTCTGAGGTCCCAGAGACGGGCGGTGGCCCGGGGTGTCCTGGAGAGTCACTGCCCTATCAAACGCTCCCCCAGAAAACCTCCTGAGACTCAGAAGCAGCTCAAAGGGCTATCCGCCCACTTCCTCCTCCTGGTTCACTGGGGGAGACCCCCGGTCCCCGCGGAGCAGGGACCTGCCAAGGGCACAGGCCAGCTGGAGACAGCAGCGGACCCAGATGGCCTTGACATGGGACTCTCTCCGCAGTCCACGCGGCCGTCTCCACCCAGAGGGTCCAAAAGGTCAGAGTCCACGCGGGGCCGGAAGAGGCAGGACGCTGGCGTCCGGGAGGCCCGCCCTTTGCCCCTGTGGGTGCGGGGCCAGGCCGTCCTCTGGGCGTGGAGGAATGACAGCCCGGCCCGCCCCACCTGCCCCAGGAGGCGCTGGGGGTGGGGAGGGCGGGAACAGAAAACGTAGAAGGGGAAATGGAAGCAGGGGGAAGGTGTCCCGGAGAGGATCCTTCCAGGTCATGGGGACACCTCTCCCTTCCAAGAATCACACTCAGACCACAGGTTAGCGCCTAATTGCTCCCTAATCGGTCCCAGGGCGGGAGTGGAAGAACTGGCTGTGGCCCTCCCGTGAGGGAGGGAGGGTCAAACCCAGTAACAATCCGAGGCCTCACCGGTGAAGACCCCACCCAGGAGCGCCCCTGGGTGAGGACTGAGAGTGGAGTGGACTCCTCAGTGACGGAGCTGGCTTCATGGCAACCAGAGGTCTGAGGGAGGGAAGAGGTTCGTCCACTTTCCCAAAGAGCTTCTCTCCCCTTGTGCCCGGGGAGAGGTGGGTGCAGGCGGGTGGGGCGCACCCCTGTGCCGGGCAGAGGACCAGCCGGACCGGCCTGGCGCACCGGGGCCGGAGAGGCACGGGGGCCAGAAGGAGCCGAGTGCACCGCGCGGATTACTTTCCACCAGACTGCTCTCCCGGCTCCCAGAGTGATGCCAGCAGACAGCTGGCACAGGAGGGAGCCCAAAATAACCCAGACAGCTGGGGCAAGGGGGTGCCGCGGACACAGGCGCTGGCTGTTAGTCAAGACACCTGGAAGCCCGTCCTGGCTGCCTGCGGTGACCTCCTGACCTTGGGTAACTTATACTCCAGTGGGGGGTTGTGGGACGACCCCCCCCCCCCAAATCACGGCTGGTCACAGAGCAGAGGGGGGCAGGCCGCCCTCCGGACTCAAACCACAGGAGGAGGAAGGACACGGCCTCCCCGCCCTCCCCACAGGAGCCTCCCCTGCCCGGAGGCTCGGCCACGTGCTCGGGGTGGCCGGTGGGGGAGGAGCTGGAAGGCGGCCGGCCTCCACTCCCTCAGCCACATCGGAATGGAGGCCGACCAGTGTGAGGCTTGGGACCAGTGTGAGGCCTCCAAGCAGGGCCGGCCCCCTCCATCCCCCTCCGTCGCACTTAATCCTCCCAACACCCCTTCCGGCACACATCGCAGTCCTTTTCCCGGGAGACGCGCCCAAGGTCACCAGCTCCGGGAGAGTCAGGCCGGCAGCTGCCGGCTTAGGGCCTCCCTCCAGGAAGCAGGAGAAGCGCAGGACAAAACCTCCGGTCCAGCCCTACAGGCACCCCCAGACCTCAGACCAGCCGGCCCGCACGCCGAGGGGTGGGTGGTGCGAGAGTGGGCAGGGCTGACCTGACACAGAAGCCAAGCGGGGAGCCAAACGGGGGAGGAGGGGCGGGCAGGCAGTTCCATCCCGGGCACCTGGGCCCAAATGGTTCATCAAAGCCATCACCTTCCAGAGACCGCCTGGGGGAGGCGCCGCCTCCAGCTGTGGGGCCTCCCGGAGACAAAGCAAATGGGCACCCGCGTGCACGAAGCTCATATTGGGAGAATCAGGAAGAGCTGCCAGTGTTACGAGGCCAGCGCCTCTATGCCAAGCACCGGGTCTCACCCTCACAACACCCCAGGTGTTACCCGGCCCCAAAAGCTCTCCAAATGTGTCCCCACCTGGTGGAGTCGGCACCAGCCCGGGAGTTGTTAGAAATGCATGTTTTGGGACCCACCTACTGGATCGGAAACTCGGGATAGGCCCAGAGTCTGTGCCGCTGCGGGACCCGGCAGTGAGCCGCTTCCAGAATCGCCGACCTACCCCCACTTCGCAGATGGGCCCAGAGACGGCGCAGCCCGCGCTAGGCAAGAGGTGAACAGCTGGCCGGCTGGT